AAGTGCTCTGTTATTTTTGCATGACAGGACTTGGTCCCACCACTATTGTTTCCAGACACGGAACTAGAAGGGAGGGAAGTCAGATACCGCCATTAAGGAAGTGGGTGGAGCGGTCAAGAGGTGAAAACTGGAGACAGTGGTGGAGGAACAAAAGAGGGAGGGATTAAGCTAAAATGTATGTAAAATGACTATATAAACTGAGAGCTGAGAGGTGGAAAGTTAGATGCTCTGCAGACCACCTTGGCTATATTGATTGTAATAAAGTCTATCTTAATTCTACCAAAACTTATGAAAGTACTTTGTGTTTGACTGAGGACAAGGCTAGATGGGCTTCATCGATCTCTGTGGTCACCGGATACTTAGCAGTACATCAGTCATTTGCCCACTCGATCACGTATTGACACAAACAGAGCCTCCACACACACCACACACACACACACACACACACACACACACACACACACACACACACACACACACACACACACACACACACACACACACACACACACACACACACACACACACACACACACACACAGAGAGACACACAGACACACACAGACAGACACACACAGACACATACATACACACACACACACACACACACACACACACACACACACACACACACACACACACACACACACACACACACACACACACACACACACACACACACAGACACACAGACACAGACACACACAGACACATACATACACACACACACACACACACAAGCTAACACATTCACCCAGGATTCAGCAGGAGCTTTCTCCCTTTGTCGTTATCAGTATTGATCCAATGGAGGAGGACATTTCGTAAATCAAATCCATGGGGAGGCACCCGGACCCCATTCATTTGTCATGCTCATCCCCATTGAAGCTTGCTGATGAGTCTCTCTGGATTGGTTATGCTTCAGTTGAGTGTGAATATTTCAGGCAGGAAGACCCCTTGGGTACCTTATGAAATATGGCAAAACATTGCTTCGAGATATACTACAAGATTATTATCAAAGTCATTTTAATTCCAAAACAAACACATGTTTGGCCAGCTAGATGAAACAGATACCACCCCTCTCAGCGGGGGATATATTCCTAGATTCCTTCCAGCAAACAGATAACAGTTGTTAGCCATGTAAACACAGTAAATAGCAGTGCTGACTGTTGAGTTGGCAACTCAGGCAGTCAGACAGCAGGGCTCTCTCAGTTTCAGTACTAGACGGCGGTCAGGACACTGCTGTGCACTCTGTGGGTGTGTGTGTGTGTGTGTGTGGGTGGGTGTGTAAGTGTGGTCTTGTGTGTTTGCAGACTGCAGAGGCATTAAGCTGTAGAGATTTCTATCTCTTCCTGTGCTCAAACCCTGACTACCCTGACTTTTTATGTTCTACCGAGCACAAGTAGTGTGTTCAGGCAGAGATTGTCACATTCAGGCCTGGTCTGGTCAGACTGTAGGTTCAGCATCCTGCCATCTAGCACCACCAGGGATGGGCACAGCGGGTTACAGTGGTGCACTGCCCTGTCATCAGCAGGAGTGGACCCAGCAGAGCAAACACAGCAACAAAAGACAAGATTGTTTCTGACAGCAAAAACCCTCTCTGTAAGTGTTCTTCTGTGTTTGGTTGTGTCACTGTGCATTTGTGTCTCTGAGAAAACTGGTGTTTGTGTATTAATGTTTTATGTGTGCGTATGTGCAAATATGTCTATGAAACTGAAAGTAGATAGGATACTATACCGTTCATACAGTTTTTGCGATGTGGCACAGTGGTTTGCATGTCTGTGTGTCCTTTTTATGTGTGGGTTAAAGACAGAGAGAGAGACAGAAATGATGTGTCGGCTCTTATACAATCCACTGATATTTTCTCTATTATCCTCACTGTCGAGAATTCTGAATAGTTGAGTCTGGATAAGACACAGAGTGACTGTTTGAATCCATTTCCCCCTTTTTATTCTGCCATCTGTCACCAGGGTTGGAGAATAACTGATTACATGTAATCAGTTACATGTCATCTGATTACAACAAAACTGTAACTGTAATCGGTTACGTTATCAGCAAAAAAGTATGTAATCAGATTACAGATACTTTTGAAAAACTAGATGATTACTTCTTGGATTACTTTGAAATTCAGAAAGGATGTTTGAGAGAGAAAAAATACATTATGACACCTTTCTGTGAGTTTGATGGATCCTTTTTGTCTTCTTCTAATGCCTTTTAAGGGGAAAGTCATCCAAAGTAACCAGATTACATTACTGAACCAAAAGTTACATTACAGATAACAATTTTGGACAGGTAACTATTAACTGTAACAGATAACATTTAGAAAGTAATCTACTCAACCCTGTATGTCACCCACCCCTACGATGCAGAGGTGCAGAGGGAGATAGATGATGATGAGGACAGGAACCGGCTCTGCACCTGCTCTTTCTCTCCTCTCCATCTCTCCTCCACTCTTCTCTTCACTATGTCTCTCCTCCGCTCTTCTCTCCATCTCTATCTCTCCTCTGATTTCTCTCCATCTCTATCTCTCCTCTGCTTTTCTCTTCTCTCCTGCTTCAAAACATCAGGTGCATGATGCTTCTGCTCGTGCATGCAGATTTGCTTTGTCTAATTTCATAAAAGGGTCCAGTGTTGATGTACTCTGTGTTAATCATCATGACACAGCTTTAACCCATCACCCTGAACAGTGAGATGCATTAAGAATATTAGATATGATCAAAAGATATTATGCTAGCTGATTCAAAACGGTAGCCAAAGCACTATAAAAAGGATCAATGCTAATATAAGGGATTTTTGGAAGCCAAGTCTGTGGCCTCAATATGAATAGTAGTAATTACAGTTGTGATGCTGCATTATGTTCCGTGTAAGCACATACGGTGCAGCATTGAGAGCTGTCTCTCTGTCATCTGTAGTTCCGTGTAGCTCAGTTGGTAGAGCATGGCGCTTGCAACGCCAGGGTTGTGGGTTCGATTCTCACGGGGGATCAGTATGAAAATAATGTATGCACTCACTAACTGTAAGTCGCTCTGGATAAGAGCGTCTGCTAAATGACAAAAATATAAATGTAAATCTGGACATAAAGATACCAAGATGATCGATCTGAGTGCTATCCAGAGGGAATGTAGCCAACAAAACCTGTACGGTTTTAAAAAATACAGTATCTTCCAGATAAAAATTGCTCAGATTGTTGTATAGCATTGTATATAAATTACATAATTATCTTGAAAAATGAAGTGGCACATACTCTATATCGAAGACAGAATGGATCACTGTTATTATGGCTTCATTCCAACAAACACTGACAGTTTCACATAGGAAAGGAAATGAGCGTGTCAAGACAGCTAAGAAGAGTTCACATTGAAATGGCTCATCATCGGAGCAAAACCTATTCCCAGTTGTCCGCACTGCCATTTCAGCCCAGAGGAGAAGGTCACAAACAGCCCCGGGTGGGAGCTGCTGCTGCCAGCACTCCACTTCAACATGGTCATGGTCAGAGGTCCAGAGACAGATGCAGTTAGTGTGCAGCCAGCCTCATCCCAGGGCAAACTCCTCATCTAGCAGATAGACAGACAGACACAGGGGCTGCATCCCAAATGGCACCCTTTTCCCCATATAGTGCACTACTTTTGACCAAAGCCCTAAGGGCCCTGGTCAAAAGTAGTGCACTATATAGGGAATAGGGTGTGATTTGAGAAACAGCCAGGGTCTGCTCTGGGCACTATCTGTCCCTGATGACATACAGCATGACGTTCCACAACATGATAGAACGTTTGACATTAATCATGGTGGTGACAAACGGTGAAGGCACACATGATGACACAAACAGTGAGGTTGCACATGATGAGACACCATGTAACCAGAGATGGTCTATAATCTTGTAACAGGCTTTGATGTATGAGATGGATGATGAGGTGACCTTATTAAGAGAGCTAGTAGCATCAATATATTTCAGATCCATTGAAAGTTTTGTTGGCATCAGTCCTAAAAGGACTCACTAACTGCTTTGTTATCCTAAAAAGTCAATTGACAGGAGCTGCATAATTCATTGACAGGAGCTACACTATTCTTTCTGTTTCGTAAAACAATTACATTTTCATATGATCCTGATCGATTCAGAGCAGCATACATAATGGTCATTTATACAATATTTGTAACACAGTCTTGCCCCAGGGCCGCTGCGGCACACAGTCCAGAGTCATGTTGCTTTTGCTGTGCTGAATATGGTTTGGTGGCTCTGGGGTTAGGCTGAGGCCAGTGGCCCTTCAGTGTTTAAATTCATGAATTAACAATTCATGATTTATTTATACTGTGTGGATTGCTTCACTTTCCACGCAACCTTATATTCATATAAGGTTACCCCACTGAGTGCCTCCTGTGTCTGATTATCGTTTGCAGTAGTGTTATTATATTCATATAAGGTTACCCCACTGAGTGCCTCCTGTGTCTGATTATCGTTTGCAGTAGTGTTATTATATTCATATAAGGTTACCCCACTGAGTGCCTCCTGTGTCTGATTATCGTTTGCAGTAGTGTTATTTGCTATGAATTCTGCAGATTTATAAATCATGTTTTGGCACTAAAACCATTTGGTGTTTTTGTTGTGTTATGTTAAAAACAAGTCTCATTTTGACTGTTTAAACACACGGAGATGCACACAAGCCTATCAGAAACTGTGTATCACCTGTGATGCAGTATTTCTAACCATTGGGGGACCTTAGGGAAATGAACAAGGCCCATTTTGCTGACCACACATTTTCATCACAGTGAGTCATTGCACAGCTGATGCCCCTTCCTTTTTTTCTCTCTCTCTCTCCCTCTATCCTTCTTTCCTCCCTCTCCTCTCGGCAGGTTCTGAAGCTGAGATGGTAGTGAGATCCACTTCTTCATAGATCCGCACCCCTGATGTCCATGGATTCCTTGTGACCACAGCAGCTAGTTCTACGTCATCAAGATGATCACCCAGAGACTCTAGTTCCTCATTCCTCCATTGGAGGGCCACTGTGGTGAGGGGAGGGGGAGGGTGAAGGAGCCTCCTGTCGTCAGGCAAAGAGCTGCAGAGCCTGCTGGTAAAAGCGAAGGGAACCATGTAGTGTTCATTTCTCCACCCAGGGGGGAGGGTAGATTTGAGTTGAGTTTTTTTCCATAGATTTTAGTGTGAGAGTGTTTTATGTCAGCCAGAGAGGAGATGGTCCTCCACACCTCTCCCTACTCCAGTGCCTTCCTGCGGTGCCTCACTAGCCTGTCATGGGGCTTCATCTTCCCCTGCTACTGGCTGCTGGACCGCCTGCTGTCCTCCTGTGTGGCCACCTCTCTGGAAAAGCGCCGGCGCTCCCAGGACCCCTGCTCCTTCGTGACGCTGTATGTGCTGGTGTCCACCCCGCTCTACCTGCTGCTCCTCCTGGCCTCGCTGCCCTTCGCTCTGCTGGGCTTCCTGCTGTGGGCTCCCCTGCAGGCGGCCCGCCATCCATATCTCTACACCCACCACCGCCCAGACAAGCACCAGGCCGAGCAGGGGGGCGAGGCTTCACTGGCCGACTGGAGGCCGCAGGGCCGCAGCTTCTGCTTCGGCAGTGCCAACGTGTGCCTACTGCCAGACTCCCTGGCACGCTTCAACAACCTGTCTGAGACCCAGCGCCGCGCCCGCGAGGTGGGCAAGCGTATCCGTAATGGGGCCAGCCGGCCGCAGATCAAGATTTACATCGACTCCCCAACCAACACCTCCATCAGCGCTGTCTCCTTCAGCAGCCTGGTCACGGGGTTCCGACGCACCTCCTCACTGGACCAGCGGCCTGACAACACAGCCGAGGCCGAGACCGAACCCCTCACTGAGTGCCCTGTACACAACGCTGGTGCAGACTGCCCAATACACACTGCCGGTGCAGACTGCCCCATACCCACCGCCGGTGCCGACTGCCCCATACACCCAACAGGGGAACAGAGCTCCTCAGATTGTCCCGTCCACGTAGCTGGTGGAGAGAACACACCAGAGTGCCCGCTTCACACTGCTGGTGCCCAGAACAGCTCTGACTGCCCTGTTCACAACACAGGGGCCCAGAACTCCCCAGACTGCCCTATGCACACCTCAGGGGTCCAGATCAGTATCAGTGCCCCAGAGCCAGACCCCCCAGAGGCAGAGACAGGAAACTACCAAGGCGAGGGTGACGCAGAGAGCCTGACAGGGGGGATGTCTTCTAACAACACCCTGTCCCACCGCACCTCCATGTTCAAGAAGCACACCGGCCGCAAGCGGCGCCAAGGCGACGATGGCATCGACCACGAGATCTCAGCCTTCTTCCCTGCCAACCTGGACTTCCTGTGTCTGCAGGAAGTGTTTGACCACCGGGCCACGTCCAGGCTGAGGCGGCAGCTGCACCACTACTTCCCCTACATCCTGAGTGATGTGGGCCGCTACGCCTGGAAGGGCTGCTGCTCCCGCTTCAAGTTCCTCAACAGCGGCGTCATGCTGGCCAGCCGCTACCCCATCCTGGACGCCCACTATGAGTGCTACCCCAACGGGCGAGGGGAAGACGCCCTAGCAGCCAAAGGAGCCCTCTTTGTCAAGGTTAGGTGTTTTTTCTGTCTCTACTAATGATAGCATTGGCAAGTGCTGTAAATTAATCGCTGTAAGTGTGAAAAAGGCTGAAGGAATGATCATAATTAGGGTAATACTTTGAGTGTTAAAAATGTGTTACTGCCTCTTATTGGACCAGATCATTGGTAAAGGAGCTAAATGTCCTCCAGGCTGCATCCTCACATCTGGCTGCTTTTTGGGGTTGGATCTGTTTCCACTGTTGTTGGACGGATATATTCAACCTTACTGTTGCAGAAACTTTGTGAACACAACGAAGTTGAATTATTTAGGCATAGTTCCCTGTACCCTTGGCTTGGGGGGAGTTGAAAGTTGAAAATCTCTCTTGCAATTTTTGCAGAGACCAGGATGAAAGAAATGCCCTTTTTTTATTCAGTCTCAAATTAAATAATACATTACTGTAGACCTTTTCATTTGAGGGTTGCAGATATGTGTCTACCCTCTGTTCAGAGGGTGGTGTCATTTCTGCAGTCTTTTCAATTCCCATATCTAGCCTATAGTATGTCTTTGATTATAATTTGGTGGGCTGTCTATTTATACTGTGACAGTATTTCTGAAGTGCTAAAACAAGGAATTCAAGTGTGAATTAGCACAGGTCAACAGGAGCAAATTGTAGCCTATTCAATATTTTTAAGGATCATCTTCTGTTATAGCTGTTTTCGGGCTTTCGAGTTGCTCCAGAACTACAGACCACTGCTATTTCAAAACATGAATTAAGTCATATTTAGCTAGTCTGCCCATTTCCAGTATTGAGCTTTAGTAGTTTTCTGGTGTGGCAGCGCCATGCCGTGAGCTGCGGGTGACTGACGAGGCTCTCTGTGTCGACTCCATTGGGGAGAGTGATGACAGGCAGAGCAAAGCAGAGTTTGGGTTCATTGATCACTAACCTGCGAGGTTAGGGCTGTGTGGCTGTAGTTGTGTGGCTGTAGTTGTGTGGCTGTAGTTGTGTGGCTGTAGTTGTGTGGCTGTAGTTGTGTGGCTGTAGTTGTGTGGCAGTAGTTGTGTGGCTGTAGTTGTGTGGCTGTAGTTGTGTGTGGCTGTAGTTGTGTGGCTGTAGTTGTGTGGCTGTAGTTGTGTGGCTGGGGCTGTCTGGCTGTAGTTGTGTGGCTGTAGTTGTGTGGCTGTAGTTGTGTGGCTGGGGCTGTCTGGCTGTAGTTGTGTGGCTGTAGTTGTGTTGCTGTAGTTGTGTGGCTGTAGTTGTGTGTCTGGCTGTGGCTGGGGCTGTGTCCTGGGTTGTGTCCCAAATGGAACCCTATTCCCTTGGTGCCATTTGGGATGCATCCCTGGTTCTGGTTGGCCTCCAGGTCCTGCTGGGGCAGCTCAGCAGTTCTCAGCCTGAAGGTGATGATGGGTCTGGGAGACACTGGGAGGCTGTCTACAAGCCTGCTAAGTTCTGTAGGCACCTTTTAGTTCCACCACTCTGACAACCATGTTCAATATCTCCCCCTGCTGCTTATTGATTCAGATAACAAGCTCCTATGGCTTTGCCTCTAAGTACCTCCCTCCCTCCTCCGTAGGGTCATTCTGGGTCATCATCTCACTCTCTCTAGAGCTCATGTAGGACTGACCCTTAGCTTCAGGGTCCTCGTGCAGTTTGACCCCACAGACTAGTAGGCTTTAGAAAGAATGATGTATCCAAGAGGTCTTTCTCTGCAAGCTTGGGAGTCTTGTGACCAAACAAATATTATCAAACCACAAGGTCATTTTCCTCTAACAATGTACGTTCTTAGCAGACCTACATGAAGTGAAAGTGGCAGATTTCATTTGCAATACAAAGTGACAAACTCAGACATTACAAAGACGAGCACTGGAGGCAAAGGGAGGGAGGGAGGGTAGCGGGTGTGTAGAGATACACAATTAATTAAAAATGTCTCCCTGAAGAGTGAGCAACCCAGTAATTAAAGCCTTTCTGTCTCAACATTTATCCCTCTTATTATTATTTAAAACAGCAAAGTGCAAGGTTGAGGGAAGAGTGTGTGAGTGAGTGTGTGTGCATGCGTGCGAGAGAGCTTGCGTCTTTGTGCATGCTTGTGCCTGTTTGTGTTGAGTTTGAATACATTACAGAGAAAACCTTAAAACAGGCCCACTCAAAGTACACATTGAGTGGAAATAAATTAAAGAAATAAACTCTTAGCTTCTCCCTTTGCTTTTAATGACCAAGAACTCCTCTCAGTGCTGAGGTCAACTCCATTAATATAAATTACCTTCCTTCCTGGGGATAAAGGGCATTGCTTTTACTCTGCCTGTGTCGATGTGAAAGTCTATCTAAGCATTGGACACAGTAATGAGGTACAGTAGAGGTCTTTGCTCCTCTCTCTAGCCTCCATGTTGAGAGAGAAAAAGGTCTGGTTGCAGGAGAATTTAAAGCTGGTCACATACACTACATTACCAAAAGTATGTGGACACCTGCTAGTCGAACATCTCATTCCAAAATCATGGACATTAATATGGAGTTGGTCCCCCCTTTGCTGCTATAACAGACTCCACTCTTCTAGGAAGGCTTTCCACTAGATGTTGGAACATTGCTGTGGGACTTGCTTCCATTCAGCAACAAGAGCATTAGTGAGGTCGGGCACTGATGTTGGGCGATTGAGCCTGACTCGCAGTCGGCATTCCAATTCATCCCAAAGGTGTTCGATGGGGTTGAGGTCAGGGCTCTGTGCAGGCCAGTCAAGTTCTTCCACACTGATGTCGACAAACCATTTCTGTATGGAACTCGCTTTGTGCACAGGGGCATTGTCATGCTGGAACAGGAAAGGGCCTTCACCAAACTGTTGCCACAAAGTTGGAAGCACAGAATTGTCTAGAATGTCATTGTATACCGTAGCGTTAAGATTTCCCTTCACTGGAACTAAGGGGCCTAGCCGAAACATGATAAACAGCCCCAGACCATTATTCCTCCTCCACCAAACTTTACACTATGCATTGGGGCAGGTAGTGTTCTCCTGGCATCCGCCAAACCCAGATTAGTCCGTCGAACTGCCAGATGGTGAAGCGTGATTCATCACTCCAGAGAACGCATTTCCACTGCTCCAGAGTCCAATGGCGGCAAGCTTTACACCACTCCAGCCAACACTTGGCATTGTGCATGGTGATCTTAGGCTTGCCGCCATTGGACTCTTAGGCTTGCCGCTCCCGACAAAAAGTTATTGTGCTGACGTTGCTTCCAGAGGCAGTTTGGAACTCTGTAGTGATTGTTGCAACCGAGGACAGACGATTTTTACGGCAGTCCCATTCTGTGAGCTTGTTTAGCCTACCACTTCACGGCTGAGCCGTTGCTGCTCCTAGACATTTCCACTTCACAATAACAGCACTTACAGTTGACCGGGGCAGCTCTAGCAGGGCAGAAATGTGACGAATTGACTTGTTGGAAAGGTGGCATCCTACGATGGTGCCATGTTGAAAGTCACTGAGCTCTTCAGTAAGGCCATTCTACTGCCAATGTTTGTCTATGGAGATCGCATGGCTGTGTGCTCAATTTTATGCACCTGTCAGCAACGGTGTGGCTGAAATAGCCAAATCCACTTATTTAAAGGGTTGTCTCCATACATTTGTATATATAGTGTATCTAGTCCTTTGGGTTCAAATGGAACGTTTACCCTCCTACAAGTATACTCAAGATACATGGAATTCAAATGATCATAATCATCATTATAATTTATTTATTTTCTAACACAAACAGCGACGCACACGCTTGTGCACACACACACACATACACACACACACACAAGCGGCTCTAGATACATGACCATGATTCCCTTTAGGCCTGTCAGTTTTAGAGCACACACCTACCGAAGCATGGATAAGCCTCTGAAATATTCATACACAGGGACACCGGCAGAGAAAGAGAGAGAAGTGAAAAGAGAGAGAAAGAGAATGAGGAACAGGAACAGAGGGTAAGAGAGTTGGAAAGGGAGCGGTTATAAAGACTGGGTGAGGGAATGTACAGTGCATGTGTCAGGCCAAGTGGACAGGTGATGGCTGGACACAGGGTTTACTGCTTCTTTATTGAATTAATGCTGCAAATCTTTGTGGAGGAAAAAATGTCACAGAATGTATTATGTTGTAGTCTAAAATGTAACCTTTGCATTTCATTTTGGTCCTAAGCGTTTTCTATGAGGGCCTTGTCGGTGAGACCAAGCCAAGACTGCGATCAAGTGATTGGATGACTGCACAGTGACTGAACAGAGAGCTTGAACACACTGTAATCAAATCTAATCAAACCTGCAATAGCCCTGATCACAGAGGAGACCTATTCAAAAAGTCCTGAAAGATCTTAGATAGACCATTTCTGACACTAGGTAACACTTCAGAACACTGCACATTTCCAACCCACTCAATCCAATACTCTAGTCCAGGGGTGTCAAATGTCCGGCCCGCGGGCCGGATCAGGCCCGCAAACGGGTTTAATCCGGCCCGCGAGATGCTAAAAAAAAAAATATATATATATATAAATAAATTAATAATAATTTTGTAAAGTATAAAAATGCGCTGCCATTTTTCAATAAAATAAACTGCTGTTCCAATTGTGTCCACTGGATGGCGCAATAGCAATTGTGTTAAGCAAGCAAACTGTTTATACCGGGGCAGAGCAAGTAGGTCAAGCACGTGCAGCCAATGAGCTACTTTGTTTTGCCCGCAATATTTATTACGGCTTCTACTTTTAACATTATGTGCTTTGGCACCCTCATTGCCCCAATATGTCTCTGTCAAAAAAGAGAAAAGTGGACGCAGAGTGCAGAGTGTTCCAAGAAAAATGGTCATCCTATTTATTCACGGAATTGAATGGGAAAGCTGTATGTTTGGTGTGTTCAGAGCATGTTGCAGTGCTGAAAGAATATAACCTTTGTCGCCACTATGTGAGTCTTCATGCCGACAAATATGACAACTTTCAAGGACAGCGGAGATGAGAGAAGGTGAATGAACTGTTGGCGGGTCTGAAGAAACAGCAGTCTGTGTTTACTCACAGCCGAGACATCAGTGACGCTGCAGTGAAAGCTAGCTACCTCATTGCTAATGAAATCGCAGTGGCTTCAAAACCATTTAGTGAGGGTGAATTTGTAAAAACATGCATGATGAAGGCAGCGGAGATTGTGTGCCCTGAAAAGCGGCAGGCTTTTGCAAATATCAGCCTGACAAGAAACACAGTTGCAGACAGGATTTCCGATCTTTCAGTGGATTTGGACAGCCAGTTGAAGCAAAAAGTAAAGTCATTTATTGCGTTTTCGGTTGCAATTGATGAAAGCACGGACATTACAGATGTTGCACAACTGGCCATTTTCATCCGCGGAGTTGATGACACATTGACCGTCACGAGGAGTTCGTGGAGTTGGTGCCGATGACAGATACAACGACAGCAGCTGATATTTTTACCGCACTCGTCGGCGCGCTGAACAGGGTCGGAGTGGACTGGTCCCGCGCTGTCAGCCTGGCTACAGATGGTGCGCCCTCAATGATCGGGATAAAAGCAGGCGTTGTGACAAAGTTCAGAGAGAAAGTGCAATCTGCAAATGGAGGACGTGATTTTTTGACTTTTCACTGTATTTTGCACCAGGAGGCTTTGTGTTGCAAGTCATTAAAGATGGATAACGTCATGAAGGTGGTCATCCAAACTGTTAATTTCATCCGATCCAGAAGCCTGAATCACCGTCAGTTTGACAGCCTTCTCAGAGAGAAAGGCCACATCTATGGCCTGCCATACCACACTGAGGTAAGATGGTTAAGCCGAGGTGCTGTGCTGAGGCGTTTCTTTGATTTACGAGAAGAAATTGAACAGTTCATGGAAGAAAAGGGCAAACCAGTGTTAGAATTTCATTCCGCAGAATGGATGCAGGACCTTGCATTTATGGTGGATGTTACAGAGCACCTGAATAACTTGAACAAACAGCTGCAAGGGCGCAACAAAGTTGTCACGCAGTATTATGACAGCATACGTCCTTTCAAGTTGAAGCTGTCATTGTGGGAGACGCAACTTGCCGGTGGTGATGCAGCTCACTTCCCCTGTCTGAAAAATGTGTGCTCGCGCACACATTTTTCAGACAGGGGAAGTGAGCTGCATCACCACCGGCAAGTTGGTGAGACATGTGGCAGACATGAAGCGGTTCAAAGATAAAATAACGGGACTGTTACGGGAGTTTGAGCAACGCTTTCAGATTTATGTTTATATGTTTTTATGTTGATGTGCTATTGTTTTTAATTGATTTTATTTTATTTGTATATTATTGAGAAATGACACCCTGATATAGTTCTGTGATCTGTGAAACAGTTCTGTGAATCACTGAGGCATTGTGTGTTTGTGTGTTCTTTTTCTTTAGAATTTTCAAATAAACTTGACGTGTTTTATGATTAATAGTGATGTTGTGCTTGTACTATTTTGGACACACTGTCCTCAGGCTCCAGCTTTATGTTGTATGTTGATCGAATTAAAACAAAGAAAACAATCTGAAGTTGTTGTTTTTAAGTTATATATACCATGATTTTTCCAGTCCGGCCCACTTGGGAATAGATTTTCCTCCATGTGGCCCCTGAGCTAAAATGAGTTTGACACCCCTGCTCTAGTCCATCCCCATTATCTGCACCCCACTATGTAGTCCACACACCCCTGACACTCAACAGCACCAGTCTATCCATTCAGTATATCCATTTTTGGCCCTGGCTCACAGGCCCAGAGTAATCTGCAGTAAAAGCCTCTCCATTCATTCCAGGATCATCAGTGTTTCTATGGCCAATTCAGGGCTGTAAATCGAAACAGTGACGGACAGACTGTCTCCACTGAGGGGATTTCAAACAGGGACAATGTCAGAGAAACGGGTGTTAGAGAGGGGAGACAAGACGGAGGGAGGGAGGGGAGACAGATGGAGAGTTAGTGTTTTTGGATTGGGCCAATGACAGAGAAAGTGAGGAGCAGAAAGGAGGATCAAAAGGGGGACAGTGAATAAAGAAGAATGGGCAGCATCGAGACAGAAATAGACCTGTAGATGTACAGGTTACTTTAATATATGATATTATGTGGTATTACATGTTTTCTAATTCACTGTCCAATCTACTTGTTGACAGAGATGTTTAACTTCCTATTTTTCTCTCCTTATTCTCAACAGGTGCAGGTGGGCACCTCCCATCAGGAGCAGAGAGTTGTGGGATACCTCACCTGCACTCATCTGCACGCCATTGAAGGTATTTTTATGTTTACAGTATACAGTACAGTACATGCTCACACACCAATACACTTTACTAATTGGATCCTAGCTTCTCCTTCCTAGTGTCTGAATAGTAAAGAATAGGTAAATGGAACACATTTTGGGGAATAAAAAAGCATTTGAGAGTCAAATCAAAGTTTATTGGTAGCGTACAAATATTTGCAGATGTTATCGCAGGTGCAGCGAAATACAATAACATACACACAGCAATACAACAATAATACACATATTATCCAAAAAGTTTGGGAGTTTCTCCCATTCTTCTCTGCAGATCCTCTCAAGCTCTGTCAGGTTGGATGGGGAGCGTTGCTGCACAGCTATTTTCAGGTCTCTCCAGAGATGTTTGATCGGGTTCAAGTCCGGGCTCTGGCTGGGCCACTCAAGGACATTCAGAGACTTGTCCCGAAGCCACTCCTGCGTTGTCTTGGCTGTGTGCTTAGGGTCGTTGTCCTGTTGGAAGGTGAACCTTCGCCCCAGTCTGAGATCCTGAGCACTCTGGAGCAGGTTTTCATCAAGGATCTCTCTGTACTTTACCTCAATCCTGACTAGTCTCCCAGTCCCTGCCGCTGAAAAACATCCCCACAGCATGATGCTGCCACCACCATGCTTCACTGTAGGGATGGTGCCAGGTTTCCTCGAGACGTGACGCTTGGCATTCAGGCCAAAGACTTCAATCTTGGTTTCATCAGACCAGAGAATCTTGTTTCTCATGGTCTGAGTCCTTTAGGTGCCTTTTGGCAAACTCCAAGCAGGCTGTCATGAGCCTTTTACTGAGGAGTGGCTTCCGTCTGGCCACTCTACCATAAAGGCCTGATTGGTGGAGTGCTGCAGAGATGGTTGTCCTTCTGGAAGGTTCTCCCATCTCCACATAGGAACTCTAGAGCTCTGTCAGAGTGAGCATCGGGTTCTTGGTCACCTCCCTGACCAAGGCCCTTCTCCCCTGATTGCTCAGTTTGGCTGGGAGTCTAGCTCTAGGAGTCTTGGTGGTTCCAAACTTCTTGCATTTAAGAATGATGGCGGCCACTGTGTTCTTGGGGACCTTCCATGCTGCAGAAATGTTTTGGTACCCTTCCCCAGATTCCTTCGACCTCATGGCTTGGTTTTTGCTCTGACATGCACTGTCAACTGTGGGACCTTTATATAGACAGGTGTGTACCTTTCCAAATCATGTCAAATCAATTGAATTTACCACAGGTCGACTCCAATCAAGTTGTAGAAACATCTCAAGGATGATCAATGGAAACAGGATGCACCTGAGCTCAATTTCGAGTCTCATAGCAAAGGGTACTTATGTAATTAAGGTATACTTATTTAATTAAGGTATTTCAGTATTTTTCATAGATTAGCAAAAATGTCTAAAAAACTGTTTTCTCTTTGTCATTATGGGGTTTTGTGTGTAGATTGCTGAGGATTTTTAAAAAAAATCCATTTTATAATAAGGCTGTAATGTAACAAAATGTGGAAAAAGTCAAGGGGTCTGAATACTTTCCAAAGGCACTGTATGATGGTGTGTATAGACAGTATGGACAGTATATGAATAGAAAAGATGTGTACAGAAGTAGTTATATAGGATGAGTCTTGACTAGAATACAGTGCTGTGAAGACAAAAAAGTTCACACAGGGGAATTGGGTGTTGCATAACTTTGAGAGCCATGCGGTTGAGGGTGGTGCAGTTGCCGTACCAGGCGGTGATGCAGCCCAAAATAATGCTCTCGATGGTGTATCTGTAGAAGTCCGTGAGGGAATTTCTTCAGCCTCCTGAGATTGAAGAGGGACTGTTGCGCCTTCTTCACCACAGTGTCGGTGTGGTGGGACCATTTCATGTGCACGTCAAGGAACTTTAAGCTTTTGACCCTCTCCACTGCGGCCCTGTCGATGTGGATGGGGGCATGCTCTCTCTGCTGTCTCCTGTAATCCACGATCAGCTCCTTTGTTTTGTTGACGTTCAGGGGGAGGTTATTTCCGCCAGGGCACTAACCTTCTCCCTGTAGGCTGTGTCGTCGTTGTTGATGATCAGGCCTACCACTGTTGTAGATCTGTTGGGGCAATATGCGAGTTGTAGTACATCGAGGGTGTTGGGTAAGTTGATATGGTCCTTGATTAGCCTCTCAAAGCACTTCATTGTGACAGAAGTGAGTGCTACGGGGCGATAGTCATTTAGTTCAGATACCTTCGCTTGCTTGGCTACCGGAACAATGGTGGACATCTTGAAGCAAGTGGGGACGACAGACTGGGATAGGGAGAGATCTGAGTAATTGTACACGTGAATGTGTGAACACAATAGTCGTAGACAGATGGTGTAAGATGGATGGTGTGTGTAGTAGCCTATTCTGCTTTCTACCTCGGAGCAGATAAATGGATGCATCAAACCTGCATACTTGCTCTGCACACATGCTCTGTTCCCATGGCGACGGGCTCAAGCTGTTTTAAGAGTCAGGCCTATTTAAAGCCTCTGGTCTCTGGGTCTCATTTTTTACCAAGACAGATCTCCCTGCTATTTTTGGAGCCTCCCACACCTCTGAGAGTCTGCTCTCTGGGCTAACTATAGAACAAGGGCTATTTCTAAAGACAAATGAAGTATAGGGATGAGAGAACAAGAGAGGCCTTATTATGTTCTGGGTGATGCTTTACACAGTACATAACCCATCTATATTTCATGTCCCATTTTCCCCTCTTACTACTTGTTCTGTGTGTATGTGTGTGTGTATTTCTGCTTTTACTTCTGTTTATTTTGGCCTTTGCTGCTTATAACCCATGTTTTCATTGTCTTGTTGACTCATAAATGATCAGCATTGAATAGACATCGTTGAGGGTTCCAGACCACCCCTGCTCTACCCACACACAGATCTGTTTAGTAGCATGGTCATCCTCGCTGGCCACAGGGAGCCTCCCCATTTCCCAGCCAGCAGCACATAGTGACCATTATGCAGTGTGCTGTAAATACTGTTTGAGTACACTCTCTGTATTTTTTCTCCCTCTCTCCTTGTGTTGCAGCCAAAATCCCATCTAAAGCTAAGCCACTCACATTTAGTATTTCAATCCCCCCTCCTCTCTCTTTCTCTCTCTCTCCCTCTATCTCTCTCTCTCGCTCTCCCCCACTATTTCTCTCTCTCTGTCTCTCTCTACGTCCTTTAGGAGATGCAGCTGTGCGTTGTGAGCAGTTGGATCTGCTCTTGGCGTGGGGGGCAGATTTCCGCAAGGCGACGTCCCGCCCCTCGGAGGAGAAGGGTCTGGAGGACCAGGTGGCCTTTGATGTTGTCCTCGGCGACCTCAATTTCGACAACTGCTCTTCAGGTAGCTAGCTGTCTGACTGTGTGAAAAGCTTCTATTCTCTGACATCCTGCAGAAATTGTATGTGTGGGTATTGTACCTATCATTCCATGTATCTGGAATAATGACTGGTGGATTTGGACAGACAAGCCCCTCTTTGTTTCTCATTGTATCCCTCCATTTCAGAGGATAAACTGGAGCAGCAGCATTCCCTCTTCTCCCAGTACAAGGACCCGTGTCGCCTGGGGCCAGGGGAGGACAAGTCATGGGCTCTGGGTGAGTGGACAGGAGTTTGGGCTGGTACTGGAGGGAGTGGGTGTGCTTGTGTCAGGGAACTAGGCTTTGTCTCTTTAGAAAAAACGTGATTTCCTATAGCAGCCAATCTGGGCACACACTGTGCAGACCAAAATAAGTACAATAGATGATGGGACATCAGCAATGCTGGCATAAACCTGGAGAATGATGGTCTGGAACCGAATCTAAAGGAGAAGGAACATTATCTAGGACACTCAGTGATGTTTGGAAAGTGATATATGCTGTGATGACAGGGAGATGGTAGGATGGATGTTGGCATATATTCAACCAAGCCAAGTTTATTGTGCACTAGAGCCAATGTGTAGATATATGGGAGTTATGTTAATCACTGTGAGTCACCATGTTCTCCTTCTCATCTACTGCTCATTTAAACGTTGTCTCGCACAGACTCCTCCTTGTGGGAGACGTCATTAGCCTAAGACTAGGTCCTCAGAGGTCCTCATTACTGATACTGCACATTTGTTTGCTGACCACAATTCTTTAAATTAACATTTTAGAGGTCCGGGTAGAGATCTGTTATGTCACAGAGGAGGAAGATACTGGAGTGTTCTTTTTTTTAGCCCAACTACAGTTCATCCATTTGTGTTATTGTTGAGTTTTCAAGAAATTATAGAGAAAACAGGCTTCAGAACTACAGGTTTTTATGAGCTGCCAACCATTGTCAGATTATGCAATTGGTCAGGTGAACTCAAATGCCTCCCTGTCAGCTGTTCTCTAACCCAGTTGTGTGTGTGTGTATGTTAACAGGAACCCTACTGGACACCAGTGGGCTTTATGACGAAGAGGTCAGTTCACCAGAGAGTTTACAAAAGTAAGTAAAACAACCAGTATCAACTCACACACAGACATAACAATAATATTAATAATAATAATAATAACACATAGTACATAGAATACATAGTACCCAGCTCGCACATTTGGTTCCTTGGAAGTTGTGGGAACATACAGTGGGGAAAAAAAGTATTTAGTCAGCCACCAATTGTGCAAGTTCTCCCACTTAAAATGAGAGAGGCCTGTAATTTTCATCATAGGTACACGTCAACTATGACAGACAAATTGAGAAAAATAAATCCTGAAAATCACATTGTAGGATTTTTTATGAATTTATTTGCAAATTATGGTGGAAAATAAGTATTTGGTCACCTACAAACAAGCAAGATTTCTGGCTCTCACAGACCTGTAACTTCTTCTTTAAGAGGCTCCTCTGTCCTCCACTCGTTACCTGTATTAATGGCACCTGTTTGAACTTGTTATCAGTATAAAAGACACCTGTCCACAACCTCAAACAGTCACACTCCAAACTCCACTATGGCCAAGACCAAAGAGCTGTCAAAGGACACCACAAACAAAATTGTAGACCTGCTCCAGGCTGGGAAGACTGAATCTGCAATAGGTAAGCAGCTTGGTTTGAAGAAATCAACTGTGGGAGCAATTATTAGGAAATGGAAGGCATACAAGACCACTGATAATCTCCCTCGATCTGGGGCTCCACGCAAGATCTCACCCCGTGGGGTCAAAATGATCACAAGAACGGTGAGCAAAAATCCCAGAACCACACGGGGAGACCTAGTGAATGACCTGCAAAGAGCTGGGACCAAAGTAACAAAGCCTAGCATCTGTAACACACTACGCCGCCAGGAACTCAAATCCTGCAGTGCGAGACGTGTCCCCCTGCTTAAGCCAGTACATGTCCAGGCCCGTCTGAAGTTTGCTAGAGTGCATTTGGATGATCCAGAAGAGGATTGGGAGAATGTCATATGGTCAGATGAAACCAAAATAGAACTTTTTGGTAAAAACTCAACTCGTCGTGTTTGGAGGACAAAGAATGCTGAGTTGCATCCAAAGAACACCATACCTACTGTGAAGCATGGGGGTGGAAACATCATGCTTTGGGGCTGTTTTTCTGCAAAGGGACCAGGACGACTGATCCGTGTAAAGGAAAGAATGAATGGGGCCATGTATCGTGAGATTTTGAGTGAAAACCTCCTTCCATCAGCAAGGGCATTGAAGATGAAATGTGGCTGGGTCTTTCAGCATGACAATGATCCCAAACACACCGCCCGGGCAACGAAGGAGTGGCTTCGTAAGAAGCATTTCAAGGTCCTGGAGTGGCCTAGCCAGTCTCCAGATCTCAACCCCATAGAAAATCTTTGGAGGGAGTTGAAAGTCTGTGTTGCCCAGCGACAGCCCCAAAACATCACTGCTCTAGAGGAGATCTGCATGGAGGAATGGGCCAAAATACCAGCAACAGTGTGTGAAAACCTTGTGAAGACTTACAGAAAACGTTTGACCTGTGTCATTACCAACAAAGGGTATATAACAAAGTATTGAGAAACTTTTGTTATTGACCAAATACTTATTTTCCACCATAATTTGCAAATAAATTCATTAAAAAATCCTACAATGTGATTTTCTGGATTTTTTTTCTCATTTTGTCTGTCATAGTTGACGTGTACCTATGATGAAAATTACAGGCCTCTCTCATCTTTTTAAGTGGGAGAACTTGCACAATTGGTGGCTGACTAAATACTTTTTTCCCCCACTGTATGGGGGAAAAAATGTCACCTGTTCTACGAATGTGCATTCGTAGAACATGGGTGGTTTTAGGGACCACCCATACGTAAAAATGTATGCGCACATGACTGTAAGTCGCTTTGGATAAAAGCGTCTGCTAAATGGCATATTATTATTATTATTATTATTATTATTATTAACGCTCTGAGGATGGAAATTATAGGTTATATGAAGGTAATTAAATAACATTCTGAGAAAATTCTCTAAATGTTGTGAAGGTTTTGTTATGGTTATATATATGAACATTTTCTTTACACGCTAAGAACTAAATGTAAAGGTTATTTGGAGGTATTTGACTTCCTTAAAACTTTCAATGAATGTTTCAATAACACATTTAATAACACTGCTAGCTTATTTTGAGTTAACTTTTATGAACTCCAAGCACAGATAGAGTAGGACACATGGAAATTAATTTGCTTAGGCATTAATCATGCAAACAGTTTTTTTTGTACTGTCTATTACGGCATCAGTGAGATTCGAATCAATGATTTTCTGACATAAAAGAGAACCATACATTCTCTGAACATTCTGAGAACATTGCTTAAGTCACACAATTTTTTGAACATTCCCAGAATATACTAAATATATTACATTAAATAGGACCTCATCGGAACTTGTGTGGAATGTTCCGTAGAAGTACTGAAATTCCCACAGAAGAATGTTGTTTCTAAACGTTCCTCTGAGAATTAAAAAAAGAACATTACTTTACAGAGAACCATGAGGAAACCTGTGGGAAACGTTATGCTGAAGAACTTAAATTCCCACAGAAGAATGTGGTTTCTTAACATTCTCTGAACTATTTGAAAACATTCCCAATGTCAAACCGGATGGAGAACATTCCTAGAACATTACCAAAATTGAAATTAAATGCAACCATGTTTGAGCTTTTAGGAAACATTCTGTTAAGGTAATGAAATAACAAGAAAATACTAATCTTTTCCCTTAAATGTGCTGAGAATGTTCCAAAGCCAAGCAACTATCCTGCACCTTTCCCAGAAAGTTGTGGGAAGGTTGTATGCAAAATAAACAATAGAACAACCACGTTCTCACCAAGCTCTAAGAAACATATGGTTTTCAGAATGTTATGTGCTAGCTGTGTATTCATGGCTGTTGAAGTCTTTAAGGTGTTTTTAAGTAAATGGTTGATTGTTTTCATTGTCAGAGTGATGGAGAATGAGGAGGGAAGGAAGGAATACTTGGTGTTCCCTACAAATAAAAACCACTGTCCTAATCAGACGGGCAGAAAGATCCCCCTGAAAGGCAACGGGAGGAGGATTGACTACATCCTTTACAGTGAGGAGGTGCAGCAGGACTGGAAAGTGGTACGTTCATTGCCAACTATGGATACCCTCAAGATTCGAAGGAGGTTGAGATGTAGAAACACACAAAGGGAGGAAACTGGGCATAACAGCACAAGAGCCGATCAAGACCAGATTAAATGAACTGGGAAAGAAGGGTTAGGGTTAGGACAATGTTTTCATCACATTTTGGTTATGGATCAAAGAGGATTAGAAAACCAAAATGAATTTAATTGCATAGATTGCAAATCTGTGCTCGACAACATCTTGTTTTTCTCATTATGAATCGTGGCACTGAACTGCCACCTTGTGATTAAATTTAGCTATGGCAAGAATTCTGAATGACATAAATTCTCAGATACACCATATTTTCAAGGAGAATATGCACAATGGCTCAGAAGATTATGATTTAAAATACGCTGTGTTGTAATCTAGTATTATGATAACGTGATATAATTAATCTGTAATCCCATAATGTTGTATTATGAAATGATGATGATGTCATTTACCTACTCTCTGTTGCCACCTGCAGGACATTGAAGAGTTTAGCTTCATCACCCAGCTGGCCGGCCTCACTGACCACCTGTCTGTGGCCATGCGTCTGGCTGTGTCCACAGGAGAGGAGGAGCCTTAGGCCCACACCCTTTATACTGCCACGGAGGAAGAACGAGGACGGAAGAGAGAGAGAAGGCAAGGAACTCAGGCCTGAGAAAGACAGAGCTTGAAAAAGGAGAATAAATGGATGGACATAAAGAAGAATAATTAAAGTAGCAGACACAGAGGAGTCATGTGATCCAGAGAGAACCTGGTGGAGAGAGATAAGAGAGTGGTTGTTGTGTGTGTCAGAGTTCTGGACTGGGCCCAATGCGGACCTGAGGGACTGAGCCAAAGACTCACACAAACACACACAGTCTCAGTTTAACTCACGCACCTCCAGGTCACCACTGTACCATGTATCACCTCTGGGCCTCATGGACTATCAGGTCCCTGATGATGGAGTCCCAATGATTGATTTACTATCAATAATTTCCTGTATTTAGATACTTTTATGTTTTTAGGCCTAATTTATGTCTGACCTTTTTATGTTTTTCCTTTTTGGGCTCGGAAGCGTCTGATCTTTGTTCTTTATTTAATTTAAAACAGTGACATCAGACTTCTCTTGACTCATGGAATATAGAGTGTAGCCTGGCTTACTGTGGCCCTCTTTGTCTCTGTGTTGGTTTGTTTGTTCCTCTCTTATCTTAACCCCAATTCAAGGAACCTCAGCAAAAGTGTATTTTTTCTAACTCTTTCTAATGGTTTCTATGGTCACTGTACCATCTTTGTAGGAAGTTGAAACACCCGCATTTAATACTATTTTATGAAAACTAACATCTGAAAGGGATATTTTCGGGGCCAATCTGACCGGCATCTCATGGGTCAGTGGCGGTTGGTTGGTTGTTATGCAGAGCTGAGCAGTGAGGAGCACCTGATATGATTAGATAAGAGGAACTTAGTTAGGAGGGCCTGGGTGGGGGAGTGGGGTGTTTCTGCATGGGGAGGGGAGTGAGGATATCACATTGCAATCCCTCAATAAGAATTTTAATCACAGACTGTTTGGGTTGAAAGCCTGGTCTCCAGGGCGATAAGCATGTTCCCCTGAAGATACAACCTCAAACGCTGCCAATGCAATGAGTCTGCATGAAATGCCACCCTGCCAATACCCACAAACACACCTGCACACTCATTACATACACAGACACCATTGGCACTGTTGCCTGCCTCATTTGTGATAACACCTTTTTACTCTCTCACCTGTTCTTATTGACACTGTTGCTATTGCTGGCTGTATCACAGGATGATAAGGGATGTGCGTATGTGTGCAGGGCTGGCTTTGGGATATGTGACGACCCCATGTTCCCCTTTAGCAAGGTGCAGTATTTATAGATCTTATTCCTGGTTGTGGCCACAGCAGAGGCAAACGTTTACACACCTGCTTACTTGTTTCAGGTCAGTGAGGAAGCCTGGTCGGTCAGAATATCTCTGTACTTTAATATGTATGTACTGTATGTATGTACTGTATGTATGTACTGTATGTATGCCCACCTGGCGTTTCTACTCATCTACTATCACCTGGCTGCTTTTATACTCTCTAAAGCCTCTTTATTAGTAGTAGTAGTAGTAGTAGCAGTAGTAGTAGGAGTAGTAGTATTGGTAGGGTTTATATTTGTGCTTTTTTAATACAGTACATGGTCCATCTTGCATTGATCTGCTTGTTTCTTATTTAGGATGCTGCAGTTCCCTGGTTTAGTGCACAACCTCATACAGATAAAATCTCCCTTGTGCTGGTCTGACTCCAGTACCTCAGCCTCTGCGGGGTTGGGTCTGTGTGAGTCAGGGACTGGAGGGTCAAAGGGCAGGCAGGGGGACTGCTGTAGCTGCTTGCAATGTGTTATGATGATGCTTCATGGCTTCTAGTCTCTCCACAGATAATGCTTCACATTGCTATCCTTTTGATTTTTCTATAGTAACTGTCACTGATGGTTTTTTAATTCATTTTGTGGGGACTGCTGCTTTGGGGTAGCCTCGTTTTCTGAGTGATGTGGCAGGGAATTGGCTTTCTCTTTTTTAAGCTTATTCGACAGCTTATTTTCTTCTGCTTAAAAAATAATAATATTTTCCCTCTTTGAATCACTGGCTCTTTGTGTCTTTATTTGAGTGTGGAGTATACGTCTGAAGGAGTCTCATTCACCAACAGTCATTCTTTGCCAAGCCTCCGGTGGAAAACACCACAGAATCCGTCTGTCTCACTCTGCGGTCATCTGGGATTTAGGGACTGTGTTTGTGTGTGTGTGTGTGTGTGTGTGACCCTAACTGACCCATAAGTGTGTGTTGTGTAGGTCTTTGTACAGCAAGCGGGCCGAATAAATGTTGCTTTACCTTTGCTGAGCGTCAGATACCCAGAGGAAGAGTGGTGGGTTACACCAAGACCAGCCAGCAGTGCGTGCGTACCTGTGTGTGCATTTGTTTTCACTACTCAAGTTGTGTAACTCATGCCCATGAGTATACCACAGCTCACATCTACCTAGACATCAATGTGGAAACAAACTGGCTTACTGCAGACTCAAGTCATTTCTATGGCTTTGATGATATTTAATGAGCTTCACTGTTTATGAAAGCTTGGCGTTACACAGGGTAATTGTGGTTAGTGCCACATTATATAGGACATAGAAAGGAAATAAACAACTTGTGCACAAAAAGAGAGAAAAGTGACAAGGAAGTAAAACCTTGTTGGTACTTTCCTCGTATGACGTGCACTTCTGCTTTTTAATACCAGGGGAGAGGGGAGTTCTATGTTACACTTGATGAACAACAAAGCACTCTTCACTGTGACAGCACTCCCTTGAATTAGCTTTTTTAAAAATTCCAACGAGGGGAGTCCCTGTGAACATAAAGCAAAAGCAAATAACCATAGAGACACAAGACCAAATGTGTCTCTTTTGCTAACCAGAAGGGTCCATAATAATGCATTCCTCCAAACCAATAACACATGCCTTATTAATTTGTATCTAATTTCGAGGTCTAGATTGTTTATTCGAGCTTGATGATCTGCCCTATATGCTAATGAGTTCTGCAGATTGCTTGTCCAGTCAACCAAACACGTATTTGCTGCTAATAAACAGCAACTCTAATTTATAATGGCAACATTCGGTCATAAATACAGTGAATTTGTGCCAACGGCAATTCTATACTAAAGCCTTCTACATGCATGACTAGAAACACGTGTAAAAACACAGTAATAGTAGGACTTTTAATAAAGAGGGGAAATCACTTGCTTGTGTAAAACTTTACATACCACAATAGACTGTACGTTAGTGGTTAGATACCATCTGTATAGGTGCTGTCTTCTTCATATAAGCATCATAAAAGCTGATAGTATTTGCAAAGCAATCACTAGACAGCTGTTTGTTCACCCGCACCTGCCTGCAATTGCTAATAACCCATCCACAACCGCCTGATTATATGTGATTAAGTGAAAATCTGAGGCCCGCACCCGACCCTAACCCGCAAATATAGAAATGCGCTATACGCTACAGTCAAAGACTGCAGAACGATTTTTTGACAGGGGGTGCAGGATTTTATTTTGCCTGATGTAGATATGTTTCTACTTATAATTTCCGACATTTTAGTAGGCTGTTTGTTAGTGAACTTCTCTATAATTAGATACATGTAGCTTCTCTTTTGTCATTAAATGTTGCCCTAGAATACTAAATAAATCCTTGCTCAACAGAATAATGTAATAGATCGATAGAATTAATGCTTCAATCTAGTTGACATCGGTAATGTTTTCTCTGTCATCTTTCGAGGAGCAAAGACGTTTAGGTACTGGGGAGAAAATACAATAACGCAATAAAAAAACAGGAAAGATTTTCTGTGCAAAATGTCCAAATTACATCAGTTTGACCGGTTGTAAGGAAAAAGAAAGCTGTGAAAACGGCCCAAGGTGTTTCTGATAAGATTTCAGTTCGGCTTCGATGTATATTTTATGTGGTTGAAATACTATCAGCTTTTATGATGCTTATATGAAGAAGACAGCACCTATACAGATGGTATCTAACTGAGCATTGCATTCTCTCAAGATGCAGAAATAAATAAATAATATTTCTTCAGAAAGAGGCCCGAGTTCCCGACTTGGAATTCCGAGTTGGATGACCGTTCAAAACGTATTCTCCCAGAAGGAGCTCGTTTTTTCCCGAGTTCCCATTTGTCTTGAACTCACTGAAGTCTGAGATTTCCCAGTTCCGAGTTTCCAGTTGTTTTGAAGGCGGCAGAAGTCATGCAGGATCAACCTTTTCTGGCCCATGTTGTTGCATGTGAATGTTTATCCTTTTAAGCTTGGAAAAGAGACCCTTAAACCCAGACTTGGACCGCACACCTTCTCCAACGGATAGCAGGCTAGTGATTGCTTTGCAATGCTTGCAGTTAGCCACTGATTCCTTCCAAACCACACATTGTTGAATTTGCGATTTCCAACTTGTTGTGTAATGTTTATGTCCAATGGCCGATGAGCACTGATACGTTTTATCTATAATTTATCTTCATATGGCAAGGATTGAAAAGGATTTGCCAGTAGATTGTCGACTTGATTCATGAAGATGACTGCTTGTCTAGCTTGCTAGCTAAGATTTGGAAAATATGATGTTGACATGACCAGTCCAATCAAAGCTACGGTAGATATAACGTGAATTGACGTCATTTTGGAGATGCCTTACTCAAGAAAGCAAAAAAGAGACCATGTTTGTATGCGGCTGTGAGGACAGACGCTGGGAGACGAGAAGCAAGTACAGGGAGTGAACATTTAATATATAAAGACATGAAACAAAACATGACAGCGTCTGGACAGGGGAAATATAACAACATTAATGCTGACACAGGGATCACAACTGAGGAACAGACAGATATAGGGGAGGTAATTAAACAGTGATGAAGTCCAGGTGAGTCCAATGAAGCGCAGATGCGCGTAACGATGGTGACAGGTGTGAGTAATGATGGGCAGCCTGGCGCCCTCGAGCGCCAGGGAGCGGGAGCTCTGCCCCACCTGCCCTGAATGACGGGTCGCCACTGAACAGCCAGCACTGCTATCATCCTCTTTTAGCACTTCACCAAATATTTTCCAAATATTACTTTTCTGGCCCTCCCTTCTCTTTATTTTCAACTCTCCTTTCGCAGCTTTTGTCTTATTGAATTAAACTTCGACAACGTCCTTTTTGCCTCCGTGGATTGACATTCACTTTTTCTGCCCGTTCCAAAAAGCATTATTTGGCAATTGGCTGTGTAGGCTATTTGGTGCAAGTCCTAAAGCTTAGGTCTATGCACTAATACCAGATAGCCTAAAATAATGAAAGAAAAACCTCAAAGTAGCCTATATAAATTGCACAAGAATTATACATTTATGGATTTTTTAAGGTATTGTTTCTCTTTATTCACTATCGAATCAACACTAGAAATGTTACACTGAAGAACAACACTAGTTACTATTGACGCACCCATGCGCCAATCTAAGTAACATAATTAAGATATCCTCATCAAAATCCATCAGTTTAAACTAGAGATATCTGTTTTGTTGCATGGCTGCGTCTCAATCCACCGCATACGCCTATGTTGGCCTTCCGCATCTGCAGTGGAACCTGGCCGAGCTACAGCGGTGTTTGTCAGACCATGAGACATCCCGAAAATCGGTCTTCTCACAAAAACGTCTGTAGCGTTCGAATGGTTTGGCCTACAAAGTAATATGACCACTCTATCGAAACATCGTTTTTTTTGTATTATTCCTACAGAGGTCCTAAAATTACAAATCAAATAGCTAAATGATCCATGATCATCTTAAAATAATTCCATATGTTAGCTTAGTAGAACCCCTCCCCCAAAGGTTTAGACTTTTAGAGGTTAACACTGGCCAATTTGCTGTGTGCTATGAAAGGGATACATCTGCAGGCTGCCATACATTTCAATAACCTTTTAGAATTCTGAAGAACCGTAGATGCTATGTCAAGAACCCCACACTTAACTCAAAGGTTCTTTATCAGGCAAGAGTTCTCCAAGGAACCTTAAGAACTGAGGAAGAACCATTTAAGAACCTTCCTTTTTTTCAGATCTCATGTACTGTAATGCTGAAATAAATTAATACATATTCTGTGCCAGGTTACTAAGTATGAATACACAAACTCTCTTTCTCTAAGTTTCACTAACTCTACGAATAGTTTTGTTGATCAACAGATCAACAGGCTATTGAACATAAAAGTCCCACAAATGATATACTTCTGGTGTAAAAACCAATGGCGAAAAAGGGAAATGAAATACAGGCATGTCATAATGGGGCGAAGGCAACACATTGATGCATGGAATGAAACCCACCCACGTGTACACTCACTAAATGTCAATCAGATGTAAACAAGGTGACCGAGAGTCTATCCCTTTTCTGGATCTCCCCCTAACACTCTCACCAGACTATAAAGACTGGTCCTCTGTTCACTCCACCACACAGCAGACAAGAAAGCTTGAGACCAGTATTCACACCAGACCTCTCCTCATCTAATCTCTACCCCACCTGAGCCAGCATGTTCACCCCTCGTCTTGCTATGCTGTCTGTGCTTGTTCTTGTACTGAGTGCCATCACATTTAGCGAAGGTAAGAGACAACTGGAATGTTGGTATGTTTGAGTGTGGAAGTGTTTAACTATATTTGTGGGGACCAGAAGTCCCCACAAGAATAGTAAAGGCACACAAATTTGACCAACTGGAAACATTTTGTTAGTCCTCACAAGGTCAAATGCTATTTCTAGGAGGTTACGGTTAGAATTAGAGTTAGGGTTAGAATTAGGTTTAGGGTTAGGGTTAGGAGCTAGGGTTAGTTTTAGGGTTAGGGTTAGGAACTAGGGTTAAGTTTTGGTTAGGGTTAAGGTTAGGTTTTCAGGATACGGGTTAAGGTAAGGGATAGGGTTAGGGTTAGGGGTTAGGGAAAATAGGATTTTGAGTGGGTCACTGAATTGTGTGTCCCCACAAGGTTAGTTATACGAGACTGTGTGTGTGTGCGTGCTTGCGTGTGTGAGTGCGTGTGTGTGTGTGACCCAAACTGACCCATAAGTGTGTGTTGTGTAGGTCTTCGTATGGCAAGTGGGCCGGAGAAGTGTTGCTTTACCTTTGCTGAGCGTCAGATACCCAAAGGAAGAGTGGTGGGTTACACCAAGACCAGCCAGCAGTGCTCTAACCCAGCAGTTCTGTGAGTAAACCCTATTGTACTTATGCTATTGATGTGTGTGTAAGTGGATATGTGTGTGACGATGAGAGTTAGGCTTGTTACAATTTGATTCAAATACTAAAGATGCCGTACATTATGTAGGAATTGAAATTAATGAAATGTCAAAGAAAAAGTGATATGTTGTAAAAGTACAGTGTGAAATAGAGGTGTCAGACAGACATAGAGCCTTTGATTAAATGATGCTGTGACTGGGATAGTTACAGGTGGTTAGGGTTACCCATTAGTGGCCAAATCCTCAAAGCAATCTGTGTTAGAGATCAATCCACAAGGAGAGACACAACAACCTCTTCTCATCCAGGGGTCAAAATTCAATGCTTAGACTTTTTTGTGAGTTTACCTCTGTTGTATAATGCAGAATGTGCTATGTTCCTCCTTCATGTGATCGACTTTCACTACTTCACTTTCACGTCGGGCATTTTCCTCTCAAAGTCACATCATGATCTTAAAAAGGATGTCATGAGTAAGCCATGGTATCTTGTATGTGCATTTCCCTATGGGGTTCATACTGTTATGCTGTGCTGATAACAGTGTATTTCTATGCTCAGGTTTAAGACTCAGAAGGGGAGACTGGTGTGTGCCAGGCCCTCAGACAGATGGGTGAAGGACTACATCAACATTCTGGACAGCAAGAACACTGGGAAGCAGACGCCACTCATGTAACCATGGTGACGTGACCCTCATCTGTCTCAACATCAAAGCAAATCCTTCAAAACCTATTTTGTTCCTCGGTTACACAACAAGGACATGGCCAGAACTCTGCCTTAGAGAGAGCAGTCAGGGTCCTAAGCCAAAACACCACCTGGGTCTGTCTGGGCAAATAGATAAGCTAAATGATCTCCATATAACTGTAACACTGTGAGCCGTCTGCGTTGTTGTGTATACCTCTCTCTTTACCATTTGATGCCTGTGATCGATTGTCAATATTTATTTTTTGAATCCGTAAAACACATTATTGTGCAGAATGAGTTGTGCATAGTGATGAATGATTAAATTAGAATGTAGTTCCATAGAATGTCCTAGATTATGTAACATTTCAGTATGCTTGATTACTGAATTGGATATAGGCCCATTCTGTTTTATTGCCTTCAATGAATTAAAGTGCATGCGGATAAACCATTTGTTGGTTTCAATGCCTCTCTCTGTTTTAATGCTTGCCTGATGAAACAGGACTGTAAAATCTATCTAAACCACATTCAGTTGAAGGCTACTTAATTGTGTCTGTGTCTAACCCTCTCAGCATGAAGAACATATTATATGCCATTTAGCAGACACTTTTATCCAAAGCAACTTACAGTCATGCATGCATACATTTTACATATGGGTGGTCCCAGGAATCAAACCCACTACCCTGGCATTACAATTGCCATGCTCTACCAACTGAGCTATAAAGAACCACAAAGTGGCCAGCTAATTCTGGTGCTGATCTGCTATCTGCAACTGACCTCTAGTGGTGGATTTCTAACTCGTGTGTGTGTGTGTGTGTGTGTGTGTGTCACGTTCCGAAAATGCACAAATGTGCGTAGGCCAAAATAACAATTTTACAATCACCAAATGTGCATTCTAACAGAACATAGCTAATAGGCCTAATAATAATAAATCTACTTCAACTGCACAGCCACAAGAGAGCGCAACTAGACCGTATAGGGGTGTTGTCAAATGACTATGTGGGATGAATTAATGTCTGTTTCTGTTTCTTGATCATCCTGTTGAGAATCTTAAGAAGAAGCACACATGTATGCGATACTTGACCTGTGATCAATAGAAATCCAACTGCGCATTTTGGATCTGTCCGTCCAAGACATTCGTAAAAGATTCGAGATAAAAGGCTCGGCTCGCAACAATGCAAGCAGTTCGTCTTTAGAACCAATAGAATTCGGTAGGCCGTCGGATCTTGTCTGACATCACAATTTTAGATGTCTTTAGCCAATAGGCATGCAGTTCCGAAGGAGGACACAATCGCCTTTTGAGATTTGTAGGCTGGGAAAAAAATCCCTTCTGCGTTCATAATGCTTTACTAGTCGTATGTTGATACCACCTACCCAATTTCATTCATTTGGGCCCGTTTAGAGGCACTCGTGTTCTGTTGCTACTGGTATGCTACATAAAAACGTTACATTGCGTGAATAGGACGTGTCTTTTTGAATGCAGCGTCTCTTACGCTTTTGTTTCGTTGTTTTTTCATCATCTTTTTTTTCATGCCTGATCTATTCGGCTCCTGGGTGGGTGGTGTCACAGTAGTACTACAATGATCGAACGACCAGAGTCTACAGTTGCCAGCATTGCAGTAAGTGTTATTCTTATCATAATCACATTAAATCAATGTTGATATTCTCTCACGTGTGAACTGGATTCAAACATTTCCATGAATTAATTGAAACCATTGACTTTAAACGCAACCGATGTTGTCTCCAACGTTATAACGTTATAATTCCATTATGGTCCATGGCAATACTATAAGAGAAAGAGGAATGTGACCGAAAATGCAGATTTCATATAGACTATTCCTATTACATATAGCTCTCGGACAGAGTAAAGGTTTATTCGACTACATTCTCGCTTATAATTGACAAGAAGAGAAGGGTTCCGCGCCCGGTCGTGGAGAGGAATGGACATGCACACTAATGCGCGTTTGAGAATCCACTAGGGAATTTCTGATATTATGTTTCCATTCATTTTTTTTGTTTCCATGCCTAGGCTATTTCTTATTTCTGCTCGTGATGAAGGCTATTATGTAGTCTTTGATTATGCCATTATAGGCCTAGGCTATAAAAAGTGGTATTGTTCAATCAATATTTGACTATGTTCATTATTGTATTAGATGGCAGAAAAACGTGATCACTTGATACATTTGCATTGGCAAACAGAGAATCAAAATGAAGTTGATGTCATCCAGCTAACCCTTGTGTGCCTTTCATTCTGCACCACACACATGTCTTTATTCACAGTCCTCGGATCTCTCTCTTTCTTCTCGTTCTTTCTCCCTCTCTTTCTGTCTCATACACACATGTATTTATACCTACATCAGTCCCTCTTCAAAAGGTCCCCAATAATTCTAGCTTCTACCCATCTGTTGCTTGTTACCCCCAGGTGATGAGAGCGCTGAGATTGCATCACAGCAAAGTTATGTAACCCAGCATGGGTAGGGAGGGAGTATGGAAATTGCTTTAGTGCCATTTAAAATCACTATGTGCCTGTACACATACTGAACTGTAAACAACAGCAAGATATCAATCTGGAGAGATTCACGGTCATGAACCCTTTATGTACAGTGAGGGAAAAAAGTATTTGATCCCCTGCAGATTTTGTACGTTTGCCCACTGACAAAGAAATGATCAGTCTATAATTTTAATGGTAGGTTTATTTGAACAGTGAGAGACAGAATAACAACAACAAAATCCAGAAAAACGCATGTCAAAAATGTTATCAATTGATTTGCATTTCAATGAGGGAAATAAGTATTTGACCCCTCTGCAAAACATGACTTAGTACTTGGTGACAAAACCCTTGTTGGCAATCACAGAGGTCAGACGTTTCTTGTAGTTGGCCACCAGGTTTGCACACATCTCAGGAGGGATTTTGTCCCACTCCTCTTTGCAGATCTTCTCCAAGTCATTAAGGTTTCGAGGTTGACGTTTGGCCACTCCAGGATCTTAATGTGCTTCTTCTTGAGCCACTCCTTTGTTGCCTTGGCCGTGTGTTTTGGGTCATTGTCATGCTGGAATATCCATCCACGACCCATTTTCAATGCTCTGGCTGAGGGAAGGAGGTTCTCACCCAAGATTTGACGGTACATGGCCCCGTCCATCGTCCCTTTGATGCGGTGAAGTTGTCCTGTCCCCTTAGCAGAAAAACACCCCCAAAGCATAATGTTTCCACCTCCATGTTTGATGGTGGGGAGGGTGTTCTTGGGGTCATAGGCAGCATTCCTCCTCCTCCAAACACGGCGAGTTGAGTTGATGCCAAAGAGCTCGATTTTGGTCTCATCTGACCACAACACTTTCACCCAGTTCTCCTCTGAATCATTCAGATGTTCATTGGCAAACTTCAGACGGGCCTGTATATGTGCTTTCTTGAGCAGGGGGACCTTGCGGGCGCTGCAGGATTTCAGTCCTTCACGGCGTAGTGTGTTACCAATTGTTTTCTTGGTGTCTATGGTCCCAGCTGCCTTGAGATCATTGACAAGATCCTCCCGTGTAGTTCTAGGCTGATTCCTCACCGTTCTCATGATCATTGCAACTCCACGAGGTGAGATCTTGCATGGAGCCCCAGGCCAAGGGAGATTGACAGTTATTTTGTGTTTCTTCCATTTGCGAATAATCGCACCAACTGTTGTCACCTTCTCACCAAGTTGCTTGGCGATGGTCTTGTAGCCCATTCCAGCCTTGTGTAGGTCTACAATCTTGTCCCTGACATCCTTGGAGAGCTCTTTGGTCTTGGCCATGGTGGAGAGTTTGGAATCTGATTGATTGATTGCTTCTGTGGACAGGTGTCTTTTATACAGGTAACAAGCTGAGATTAGGAGCACTCCCTTTAAGAGTGTGCTCCTAATCTCAGCTCGTTACCTGTATAAAAGACACCTGGGAGCCAGAAATCTTTCTGATTGAGAGGAGGTCAAATACTTATTTCCCTCATTAAAATGAAAATCAATTTATAACATTTTTTACATGCGTTTTTCTGGATTTTTTTGTTGTTATTCTGTCTCTCACTGTTCAAATAAACCTACCATTAAAATTATAGACTGATCATTTCTTTGTCAGTGGGCAAATGTACAAAATCAGCAGGGGATCAAATACTTTTTTTCCTCACTGTATGTGACCTTTTGCTTGGGCCTGTTATTTTCCACCAATGATGTAAGTGAGTAAATTGAAAAACTCTTGATTGCTACAATCGATACAGATCGCATCAGTTAGATGTAGGGGGCTGTGGGTGATTATACCACTGTCACATGCTGATGCACAGACCTGATTACATGAATGGCACATGTTCCCTGAAGGATCATGTTAGAGGTAGGCAGAGGTGGATATGGGCTTTGCTATAGGGCCTATTTGATGGTCAAAATAGCCTAGGTGTTTTTGTCCTTGCTACTATGGATTATCTGGTTTTATAAGCCACTTCTCTTTGACATGATGTGCCCTGATTGTCTCCATTGACCTGTTTAATTTTTTTCTAGCACAGTGATTGCGCTGTTACACTGAATCTGTTCAGATACAGAAGGGGCTGGTGAGGAAGGTTTCTCATCTGCCCCTTGGTCTTGTTTTCCAGTGTTGTCAAAAACAGTTTGGGGTCTTAGGACTTGATTTGTCATTGCATGTGTAATAACACATTTGTTATCACATAGCCTATAACAATAACACAGTTGTTATTACATATCCAATCAGGGTTTAGGCCTAAATACACTCAAATCTACCAGCCTCTGATCTGTGTAGGGTTAATGGCGGGTGAGATGTGGAATATGATACACACAAGGATTAAGGGAAGATCAGCACACACACAACACAGCTTGTCGTAGAGCTTTTTGGGTTAATACTCCATTAACTCCTTTCCTCAAATGGAAGCATTTAGGGCAATTACCTGTACTCAGACACCTCAGACATACCACAATAATGTGTTTGCTCCCTTAACAGCCCTATTGTGTGTCTCCTGACTCTCCTCGTCACTATAGGAGTGAGAGGACACATGTTTTTAGGGTGGTAGACAGTGTCCCACTGGGCTGCTGTGTGGGAGTGACTAGTGTGGCTCCTCTCCCTTTCTACCCCTGAGTTGTCCATTGGGACACGCATGAGAGGTCCTGTGAACAGGGGCGAGCAGTGATCAATTGTGTTTGCCTTGTGTAGCGTGCATGACAACGCGCTGGGTGAGAGAGAGGATGAGATTAGAGCAGGCGGAGGGAGGAATGGAGAAATACGGTACTCAAGAGAAGGAGAACACACAACTTGGGAACGCGTTGGCTGTCATCTGGTGTGAGATCCACTGTCTCCATGACGACGTCTCTCAGATGATGGATATGATGGATATGATACGACTCGTAAATAAACACAGGACGATCAGTTAAACTACCTTAACCCTTTCCTCTCCTTTTGTACCTATTTTTGTAATTTTACTCACCTCACACCCAT